GATTAATAATGGTATATACATTACAGCCTACATAAAAGGATCATTTGAAATCTACTGCTTATCCTCATGAGAAATGTACATTGCTAATGTCTGTAATCAATTACTTCTTATTTTAAAATTGTTTTCCTGTAAATGATAACATATATTTCAAGAATTACTATGTTAGAAGTAATCCAAAAGTGTATAGCAAAATTACTACAAAAAAAAAAAAAAAACTGAACTACATAAACAATAGATTTAGGATTAGTTTTATGAATATAGTTTCTTCTTAATTATTCTATAGGATCTCGTATGATCAAGTGGTTTTGCACAAGGGTTAAAGAACACACTCTGCGTGTAAAGTCTAGTAGATGTATAAGTATTGTAAGCAACATGATGAAATATCTCTATCCAGATTGTACACAGGGTCATAATGGATTGCTTCCTCTCATGACAGTCAAAGGGCTTGTGCTCCTGTGTTGTATTTCCTGTTCACTCTGTTCTGTCTGTAGAGTCTGTATTATTTGTAGAGTCAGTGCTGGGACACTCAGCTCTCTGTCTATTCAGGTCCACTCACGTCCCGGTTGGAGAGGATCAGGTGCAGCATCTGGAGCTGGCACAGGATTTGGCCCGAATCTTCAACAACCACTTCGGTGACCTGTTCCCCGAGCCGCGCACTCTACTCAGTAAGAACTGTACTGCTGAATCCACAGCAATCGCTGTACGCACTTTTACAGATATGTGCCTCCATCTAAAATAAATATTCGTAATATAATTAATATTAAATTGACAAACAGTACTACAGAGCTAAAAATGTAAACAAAATTTTATTTTAATGAAAACTGTTTACCTTCCCATTATATATTGTCTTTATTACATGAATGACAAAATAATCTATCATGTTGTATTTTAATGAGATTCTCATGTTTTTATTAGTTTCTCATACATTAATTTGATCATTGACAGACGAAACAAAGCGCAGTCATGCAGTAAGGCCATGGCCCTGATATAAAATTGTGTATATTTGTTACACTTAACGTTGTATAGCCCAATGTTCAGAGTTAGTCTTGTGTGCGGTGCAGTTTTGATTAAAGACAATCTTTCTTCCTCTTGTATCTAAATATTAAGTGTGTATGTCTTTGTAGCGATGTCCTCAAAAAGGCTCCAAAAATGAATGTTTATTCTAAACCAGGGAAGTCAACTATTAAAACTTCGTAATATATATTTTTATTGTTAAAGCAGCATGAGGTATGTTAGGAAATACAATAGGCAGTTGCTAGTTGTAAGAACTTCAAAGATATTTGGAGGATCCATTTGTCATTTCCGCTCATCACGTCACATACACGTCTGCTTCACACACTGGACCAAAATCCTTCATCTGTTTCCAAAATATTTTGGATTGTGTTGTATCAATTTCTTTCTCACAATTCCTTCTAACATTGGACCAACTCTGTTTTGTTATGTAGTGTTTTTTCCTCAACACTACCAACTTTGAGTTAAATGTGTTACATTGAAAAAAAAGTTGCATCAAATTTTGTGTATAAACTTTGGGTTATTCTTTTAAAATTTTTGCTACAGGTGCAACCCGAAAGGTGAAATCCCTCCGTGACCCATCCTCCAAAATGTCCAAGTCTGACCCACACAACATGGCCACCATCAGCGTCACTGACTCTCCTGACGAGATTGCCCTGAAGATCCGGCGTGCAGTGACAGACTTTACCTCAGAGGTGACCTTTGACCCTGACACTCGCCCGGGCGTCTCTAACCTGGTGACCATCCACGCTGCAATGGCACAGCTCTCTGTGGATGAGGCCTTATCACAGGCCAAAGGGATGGAGACAGGGGCCTATAAGAGGCTGGTGACTGAAGCTGTGGTTCAGAGACTAACACCCATCAGAGAAGAGATTGAAAGGCTGAGAGCAGACAGGACTCACCTGGAATCAGTGCTTTTAGAGGGGACTCAAAAGGCTCGAGAACTGGCTGCTCCCGTCCTAAAAGAGGTCCGGTACAGGGTGGGGTTCTGCTGACGTTTCTAAATGCAGAGCCTCTACCTAACTTATATCTGTACATATTTATAATTTGTAATGCAACTACAAATGTGTTTTTATATAAAATATTTTGTTCTGATATCTTTGACTCTACTCTCTTCATTTGGGAAATAGATTAACATTTTCTTCATTTCTGTGTACATGTGCTCCACTGCAAAAAATTACTCCAGTATTTGAATTGCTTTTGTGTATGTATTTATTTATGTATTTACCTTGAGTATTTAACCCCTGATACCATTTTAAGCCATTTGGTAGTGGGGTATATTTTCTGACTAAAATAAACCTATTCATTTAAATAAATATTATTCAAGCAATTAAAATGAAAATTAATGTTTAGAACTGAGGAAATTTACATTGCCAGTTGTTGAACTAGAGACATTTCTTAATTGTTGCTTTTCCAGATTATTTTTAGTTACTTAAATTCTGTAGAATATTTGTTCCCGTTTCTATTGACCCAAAACATTGACAGCCCATAAATACAAACCTATAGCCTGCATCAGGCAGTAAATCACATAGAGCTTTTCAGCCATAGACTTAGACTAATATACAGCATATTAGAACTAAAATAACTGCACTGTTACAGAAATTATGTGGAATAAAAGCGCAATAAAAGTGTGTTTCACAGCAAAAGAACCTTGGTAGTAAATGGAAATCCGCTGTGAAAGGGCTGAAAGTGAGACATTTTACTGGTATAAGGCTTAGACTCGGTCAATGAAGTAACTCAAAGGGGAAACCGTAAACCTTCACCTGCTCTCACATAATCTCACTTTATGTGGGTCCTATTTAATACAGCCGGTAAAATCTGCAAGAAAAGATGTGCCAATATTTCTGGTTTTCCGCTAAAGTAAATAACACATGGTTTATGACTGATCCAACATTCATCAAAAATAACAAAATAAATACATAAATAAAATCAGATTTTTACATGATTGTACTTTAAACACGAATTGGGTGATTTCAGTTATAGGCTTTAAAATGTGTCATTATTTTACTTGCCTAGAAAAGTGCAAGTGAACGAGCAAATTGCAGTGAGAAATTATGCTATATTGTGCACAATGAACACTCCGAAAATGTACATAATAATGTGAATTTGTCCATAATCTGAAACTAAAGAGCACAAGCCTATGTGCACCAGCTCTGTCCCTCGGCGTGTCTCGGTCAGTGTGCTGTTCAGACACGTGGAAGTCGCTCCCTGGAGGAAGAGACTGACAGAAGCGTTTCCATCGCCGCGCTGCGACGAGGCGTTAATCAGACAAGTGCTTCACAAAGAGATTTTCTTCACGGGATAAAAATACCTCCACATGACCCACAAACCAATATCGAAAACCTTGGTTGATTTGGGTATAGAAGCTGAAACTGCTGACACAGTGTTTGAAACACAAATTAATAGATAGAACATGTAGGTTATTTCTTTGTTTGTTAGTAGGCTAAATCAGGAAATAACGTAGACTAAGCAATAGTCCGATTCTATAAAATAAAAGCATTGTTCCAGCTGTTGTAGGCCAATACAAATGAAGCCGAAAGTGTCCAAAAGTGCTTTTACACACAGCACCTATACAATGTCAAGAATATCTCTTCTTGCAAAGGAATAATATATTGTTATTGAGTTTTTTGTTCTAAAATATATTGCATATTTATTATGAATGCATTTTTTGTCTTTTCTTGGTTGTTTCATTTTTGTCAGGTAGAAATAAAATTAAGGCATTCCCTCAAGCTGTATAGGCTGAAATGGTTTCAGACTGTCTTGTATTACGTAGGCTATTATTTAGATTCACAATCCGTTTCTAAATAATTATTTCGCAAATATTTACACATGTTCTTTACGCGCTGGTGAAGAGCATAAGGAAATCCCGAATCCACCAGTGGACCTCACGCTGCTCTGCACGGCAGACTCACCTTGGTTTCACTGACTACGTCTCAAACTTTGCATTTTATTTCCCACTAACCAATATCGATAATCTCCATAGGCCTACGTTTGTACGATTGCAAATTTATTAGGCTATGGCCTATTATATTATATTATTTACTTTAATGGGTAAGATGTTTAAATTAAGTTCATTATCAAGTAGTCTAATGTCGTAAGATTGAGCAAAACCGTTCTGTTGCATGCAATAATTTGTAACCGTAACTCTATTTAATGATCGTGCCCTTCTGTAATGCATTATTATTATTATTATTATTATTATTATTATTATTATTATTATAGCAGTTATATTTGTAAAAAAAAAAAAAAAAAAAAAAGTCCTTTTCAACCTCCTTAATCAAACCCTCCATGCGGAAAACTATGGAGCACTTTGTCCACTTGTCCTTGTGCCTAAGTGCAGCTGTCTTCTGGCTCAAACCTGCTCCAAAGCTGTGAGGGACTTTACCTAAAACCCCTCGTAATGTTGGACTCAGCGCTTCGGACATGCGTTAAAAGAGACACAATAGACTATTTTCTCTCGTTATTTTAATGAATGGGTATACAACGGTAATCAACTGAAGCATCCAGTCCATTTTTGATGGACTTTAAGTCCTATGTCTGAGTCAGGTGTAATGACATAATAAGGCCGGATTTTAACATGTGCAACAAGTCCGAGACATGGTTAGACTATGCTCTAGGACGCGCGTTTCAGCTCTGTTTTGATTGGACAGGACGTTTTTTCTTCTCGCCGGCGCGCACTTGTGATTGGTTGCTTTGCTTTGACTGAGAGTGAAGAAATGGGCCGCCCTTTGCTTCTGAAAAAAAGTCCTCCAGAAGTGGGTATCAATCAGAGAGAGCCAGAGACCGACAGACCTCGAGAAAGAAAAAGAGAGGACGTGGAAAGTCGCACCACTGTGTCCGCGATTTGCGCACCATGACACGGCCAGTCCAAAGCGCTTCACCGTGGCGTTTCTAGACACACTTTGGATTAACTTTTCTTCTGGTTATTTGCTCTTTTCATTTGACGTGGACTCCCCCTCCCTCTCTCCCCACGCGTGGATCTGAGAGACATGAGTGAGAGGAGGCGATCGGCCGCAGCTCTGAGCTCGAGAGCCCACGCGTTTTCCGTGGAGTCCCTTATCGGATCCAACAAGAAGAGGAAGCTCCGGGGCTGGGAGGAGAAGGAGCTCGAACTGTCCATGGAGAGTCTCGCGGCAGACGGAGACGAGCCCGGGCACTGCGCGCTGGACATGGACCCGGGTCAGTGGGACAGACACACCGCACATCATAGCATGACTGGACTGGTATAAGGGGCACCATTTCAAAATAAGGATGGAGACATGGTCCATTTATGCCGGGGCCTTCATTTGTTCCTTTGCGTCGTATTGAGACTAAAGACCCACTTCAAAACAAACTTAAGCGTTTCAGAAACACGACATTTGTTTACTTTTCACACTCTCCGACCTAAATTTTAACCTATTTATTAATGAATAACAGAGCATACATGTTTTAGTTCATTCATCTTGGTGTAAATAGTCTTTATCTTATAGCCCGGACTGTGTTTACGCGCGTATCACAAACATCACGTTTTATAAGCATTTAATCCATAGTCATAACGCGGGCTATAGACCACATATTTTCAGATGTAGCCTAAATGGTAATTACATTATAGTAACTAATTCATTTTATTAATAACGGAGAATATTTGTTTTGATTTAAAATGCCGAGAAACTTTGATATTTGTAAATGTTACAGTTTGCGTTATTAGACTATTACAAACCCCCAGTTTGTGCTTCTCGCCTGCAGTTCTTTTAAATTTAAATATACTTGATGTAGGATCAAAGAGTAAAATTACAAGTGTCATGTCATGTTGATGTTGCGTTTTGTTGTTGCTTGACTGAAGCCGAACATGACCTTCACAAAGTTCAAAGAAAATAATAATGATAAAACCTGAAAGCAGATTTTAAATTGCCCATTGTTATACATTGAAAAGCCACACACAAACGGTAGGGCACAATAAATGTAGGCCTGCCGTTTTAAATGTGCACATGGTCTGAGAATTTAAACATATTTACCGTAATAGACGGATGAAAGACAGTGAGCTAAATATGTGTTTCAGTGTTTTGTTTACACTTGTTGTTTTGACAAATCAGCGAGTCTGAAATGTGAAATCCTCATTAGAAACCCTTTAATCTGAAATATTGCTTTTTGAATTGTGAAGATTATGTAAAGCGGTCATTTTATCCTCTAATTACGATACATGTTACTGATAAAAAAAACCAAAAATCAAACAAAAAACAAAACAAAACAATAACTATTGCTGTTGTCAGTAGGCCTCTTGGTCATTTGGCGTTCAGTCAAAGCGCTATGGCTCCAGCATCAAACCAGTACCTTTTTAATGAATATTGTTTTAAGGATTGATACATCATTTTTGTTGCCGTTTTATTTGGGACACATCACGTTGTCTCACAGAACAACACGCACAAATTAATTTTTTGTTATTTTTCCATGCAGTACAAGTTACACGTTATTTATTTATTTAAATTTTTGCTTTAGATATATTTTTCTGAGTGTAGACTGAATGACCCAGCCAGATCCAGGGTGCTTTGCTTCTTCTTAAGTGTCTATTGCTCATTAGCAGGCGTTTCGCCTCCACGTCCGGTCTGAGCTGTGCCACCAGAGTCAGTGGTCACTGGATCACAGCGAGTCTCTGTGGGCAGATTGTGGTTTGGGGAATCTTTAACAGAGCCATATTCTTTTTACTTCTCCGTAGGCACAGGAGCTGGTCATATAACACGTTTATTAGCCACAAAGACTGAGCTGCGGAGGCTCACAGCCGCTTCTGACAAATCAACATTAGGCCAGGTACATCGTCGTCCTGCTGGAGAACAGTGATCCGTTTTGTATCATGCAACATTGCGTATGGAATAAACTAAAAGGATATTATTTTAGCATTTGAGGAGTCAGTAGAATTTTAGTTGAAACATTTTAATAAGAATATTTCCGCAATGCACGGACATGGGACTTGAAGGTCGGAGACACGTTATTGACCAGCAGCACAAACCTATATTAAAAAGTTATTATTATTATTTTTATTTTAAGTGCAATTGTATAAAATGACACAGGGTTACTGTTTTATTGCTGCTGCTTACTGCTTTGTTTATTAAAGTGTGTGTTCATAGTTGGATTGTGGATGTTCTGAAGTAGCTGTTTCATAATTTGGCCTGTGTGTTGTCGGTTCTGTTGTGCAGGGGTGTGCGGTGCTGATGTGTGTCAGTTGATTTACCTGGTCTCGTGCCTCACTTTCAGCAGAAAAGAGATAAGAGTATCTTTGAGTATCTCTTAGTAGGTGCTAACCTGAGACAGCTTCATTTATTTGGAACTGTTTTTGATGTGGGCTATTTAGATTTATTTATTTAATTTTGGCTAGACGTCTCCATTGGAAATGTTGTTAAATAAATTACGTGCAAAAACTTGATGATCAAACATTAGTCTATTTGTCAATATCACTTACCAACACAAAGTGTTTTTTGTTTTTTTTAAATACTTATTTATTTGAACCAGTGTACATGGATTATTAAATGACTGGACATCGGGCTATTTAATATTTGTAAGACAAGGTCAGATAGAACAGTGGTAAAGGCACATTTTAACGTGTTTTCAATAGAACTCGTGAAGCTATTGGTCCCCCTCCTCTTTGTCTCTTGTGTCTCTCGTTTCCAGAGCTCTTGGCTCTTGCTCCACTGTAGCGGTTTTGCCTGGGACCCTGTCCAGTCTGCGCATTTGCATAACCATATTTGTGTGCCCTGTAGTCTGCCAAGTCAACCTCCTTGTGTCAAGGCCCTCAATAAATAATACATTATTACTTTCTTTTCTGACTGTTCGGGCGATGGTGGTGTCGGAGGGGCTGAGGCAGGATATTCAACTATAAACCAGTTCTGAGAAAAGTGAAATGGGAGCTCGCATGTGGTGATTGTACGGAGTTTAATCGGCGGGAGCTTTAATGTGTCGAGGATGAAAGATTTGACATCCAGCTGGAACAACTACAGTAATATTTAACCTCATTCTCCTTTGAACTCCAACAGCCATTTAAGGTCAGGGTTATAACTGGAAAAGGAGTTTTACGTTTTGAGGAGTTGCCTTTATTAATCTGAATTTCCCATACTCCAATATCCCTGACGCAAATAAAGGGGAAATAGACAAATATAGGCCTATATAATAAAAATAAAATTAAAAGACATGTTAAGAATTAAGACATGAGTTTTAGTGAAGTTCTCTAATGAATCTTGCAACAATGATTGTTCCTTTATTTTGTTGCTCTAATATCCCATAGGCTTATTAACGCTGTTTTTTTTTTTTTTTTTTTTTTTTTTTTTTTGCTATGATTTGGGAGTGATATTAGTTAAAAGTATCCTCTTATATTATATTCTCTCCGTAAACCTGTGTGCTTTTGGTAGGAATAACCTAAAAAATAATTAAAATCCATTGCTTGAAAAGGACTCCTTTAAATTAAGATTGTCTGCAGTTTTCCCAATGTGTGGTCCAATTCAAATTGCAGAGTTATTTTCTTCATTGAATTTAAACTCGTTACGCGGCATTTACTCAGCTTTTGACCTCGACCCAAACCTTCACGAGCAATAATAAGCCAGGCGGGCGCTTCGCTGTGAGCTGCAGGCAGCAGGTGATTTGGATTCCGGGGCGTTGTCTTCTTTTGCCAAGTTTCCTGTGTAAAGCCTAAACCTATTAATTCCTTGGATATGAGAGCGGACTGTTCATCATCTTCTTCATTTCCCCTCAGACTCAGAGGCTAGTCCCGGCTCGGACGGAGAGGGTCTGGCGGAGAGGACGTCCTGCTCCTTCGGTTCACCTGCAGAGCTGGCCTCCGGGGCCTGCGACCAGTCTCCCCCGGCCTCCATGGACGAGATCCAGGTGGAGCTGCAGTGCGCTGACCTCTGGAAGAGGTTTCACGACATCGGCACCGAGATGATCATCACAAAAGCTGGAAGGTAAGGTCAGGCGCATGTGAGGTTAAATCCTACTCAAGGCACACTAAAGCATCAGTCTTCAAAATGTACTTATTAATTATATTATTATTATTATTATTATTATTATTATTATATTAACTACTAAACTTTAAGGCATTGTTTTCTAAATAGTTTTGCATATGCTTCCCAGGCAGAAGTTTTGCTTGATGCGTTTGATCCGCGTGCGTACACATAGAGCTGATAGCCCAGGCCTGTTCAACCTTCTACATGTGTGCGCCATCTCTCACACTCACACACTCTAGAGCCAAGAGTGTGTCTGGAGTAGACTTTTCAAGTTTTTGCTTTGTAATTTGCGTATTTATTTTTATTTTATTTTTGTGTGTTTGCGTAAACGTCTTTAGGCCTGGTAGCAAGACTTGAAGGTGAAATTGACTTTGGGGATTCTTCTATTTTAAAATTAAATGGAACAATCTACAGCATGGTCCCCGGCCTCGTTATAAAGCAGAGCCTAAATTGGCTTTAAATTGGTAAATCAGGTCATAAATAGAGCATCACCGGGTTAGAGCGGGCGGAGCGCGCATTTCACGGCTCGCTCATAAGAAGCTCATAAATCCAACAGAGAGCGACCCTCTTTTCTCATTAGCCAGGGTCCGATTTACGAGCTCAGAATGAGAAAAGAAAACGCACCGTTTGAAGAACAACACAAGGCATTAGGTCTTACCGTCCCTTATGCACAGTCTGTTATTTCTTATGACGAAGGATGCTTAAACTGGCTGGATCTGGTTCAGTGGAGGATGACTGAAGAAATGTCATGCTTATATCTTCTATGAATAAAGTTATTTAATGCTATTTATCTTAATCTTACACACAGAGATTCCTGTTCGCATAGCTTACAGTAATCGATATGTGCACGTGTAGAGCATTAGTTGCAGATTTCTCATAGTCTTTACTTCAGGCTCATCACACGTTCAGAGTTTTTTCCTACTGAGCAGACTACTCTTTCAGAGCTGTGTAAATATCACAGTGTTTACATCAACCTCATGTTTGTTTTATTAAAAGAAGAAGACTCCACACTGACACTCAAATGCACATTTGCACATGGACAAATATGAACTTGCATGCCTAAAATAGTGGCCAATTTGTTCTTGCTGTCAATTATTTTATTTAGCAAAAAGCATCATATATCTTAAAAATAAATACCTTTGGTTTTCTTAACTGTTTCTTGGTGACCTGCATATAGTCAGGTCACCAAGTGTTTATCACAAGTGTTTCCCTTTAAATAAAACACACTTTATTACCTAAATAAAATTATCTATAAAAAAGTTTATTTGCATTTCTACAAGATTGTTGCTAACTTTAAATTAGATGAGGAGGAAGGAGGAGGAAACACACACGTTGATGTTTAAGACTGCAGGATCGAATGAGAATCTAAAAAAGTGTAACTTTAGCTCCCAAGATAGTTTATATCTGCATTACCACTGTGAGAGCTCAGGAGGTGTACAAATCCTTTTCTCAAACTGAACAATTTTGGTTTTTAGGAGGATGTTTCCTGCCATGCGAGTGAAGATTGCAGGTCTGGACCCTCATCAGCAGTACTACATCGCCATGGATATAGTTCCCGTGGACAACAAGAGATACAGGTATGGGATAATCCTAATAAATCCAATCACAACAATGCTATCTGTGGTCACTCAAAATACTAGAATTTTTCTGAAACTGGCGAGTATGATGCTGTTGGGAACGCTGAATAATTGTTCTCTAAGGGAAGACATGTGTCCACTCCAGTCTGAATATAGCTCAAATCTTCAGAGACCTGCTTAATAAATGCACAGCTGGCCAGTGTGAGTGTGCAGAGTCATATCTACGTGTGCTGGTCTTACAAATGGATTTTCCTGGCTGCTTTTCAAGTGTCAACTCACATTTTTAACCCACTTGGACGACATATTCTTTTTAGCCTGTTCTTATTTTGGTGATGGTTGATTTATTCATTGATCATCTTCAGCCTTTGTTCAGTTGGTGAACTATGGGTTCCAGGAAAGCAAAAAAATAAAAAATAAAATAAAAATGACTGTTGCTATACAATTGATTATTCAAATTCAAGCACAATTTATGGCTCTGTTCATACTTATTTTATTATTATATTTTAACTATCATTAACTACAATTTTCTTCCCATTAGTACTATTAATTAGTATTTATTCACCTTTTTAGCATCAGATGTTTTTATACACTATAATCTTAGAGTTTTGTAGCCTTACACAAAAGTGGAAATATCTTTTGTACACACAAAGGGAAAAAAAAAAAAATCAATAGACGGCTAAACATACGAATTTCAATTTTCTCCCTGGTCACATAAGCAAGTTGAAGTCACCAGTTCACTCATTCATGTCTTAAGATAAAGTAAAAAAAGCCATATAGCCATAACGCTTTTGCATTAGGGAGGATCTACACACTCCACGCAGTATTTCAGCTATCGAATATTAGCCCAGATATGACAATATTCAAAACAAAACTTTTTTTAACAGTGCTCAAAACAGCAACTATAAACAGAAAACCGAAACCCAGGGAGAAGAAAAAGAGTAACAATACATAAGAACACACTGGCAGTGATGCAGCTCTCTGCATATAAGCTCAAGTTGTCCTGATATTGAAATGTATCCATTATACGCTGAACGAACAGAGCCAAACGCTGCGTGCTAATCGGATAACTCTCAACAGTGGAAATGAGGGAAGGCGAGTGCACTGCTTCATGTACTCATTTGTTTTATTTTGTGGTATCTGCAGCCAGCATTTAAAATGTCATCTAACTTTTCAAAAGCAAGAATCTATGTTTTATGATGAACCTTTTGGTGAATCAGGGCTTTTTCCGTTCTGAGGTTAATTCTGATACTGTAACTTTAAATGTCTTCTGATACTCATTATCAAACAACACCAGTGCAGAGACTGAAAACAGCATTCATTTGCAAAAAATAAAATAAGACAGAACTGATCCAAATGTGTTATGTCACTGTTATTTATCTCTCAACTAACTGCTGAACAGCTCTGTCATATTACCTCACTTTATACCATTAAAAGATCAGCAGAATCCCCATTAAAAATGCAGATATTGTATTGATATATAGCAAGTTGTTTGTTGTAGTCACTAATAAAATGTATTAATTTCAACATTTGTCAATTCACGTTTGGATTATTTCTTATAAAACTGTAATGTCACCAGTAGGAAAATGTGTCTTTTGCTCCCCATCTTGGAGTATGATGTCATCACAAAATCTGAAAACCTGCAGTATGTGCCCTTTGACTATGTTCTGTCTAGATTAAAAATGATATAATAATGCGTGACGGGGATCAAAGGACTACATCTATATGAAAAAGTGAAAAAACAAAAGTGAAAAAGTTCATAGTAAAAAGAAGTAAAGTCAGCAATGCTCTGCACATTGAAAATATTTGGTGCATACTTCATTTCACATTCTTGTTTATTAATGAGAGTTTTTCAGCCGAGCTCAGCAGTTGCTCTGCTCTGCCGCCTCCTCAGTCTCCTGTCAGCTCACCACATCACCCTGCACACAGCCACAGGCCAAAAGATCTTGTAAAATTAAATAGGATTTTCTCCCTGGCTCAGGATCTCAGCACATGGTTTTGAACTGCTCTGGAGACTGTCACTGCTCTGTTACTGTCCGGGGTTCACACTGAGGTCTGTAGTGGACAAGGCTGCTTCATGTTCTCATCTCATTTAATACTTTGGTGTATTGCTGACATTCGGTTTATTTTATAAAAACTTGTGTTGGTTTGAAACTATTGTACAATCATCAGTGAACTGAAAATCAAATTACATGTTTTAAACCACTGTGGTGATTAGAAAAGCCATTGGGAAAATTACAACGTTTAAAGATCTCCAATAATACTGCACACTGTAACTTTTTAAACTAGCAAACAAGACAATAAATTATAAATATAGACATGAAATATAAACTAAATACAAATGCATTGAGGAGTTTACCAGTATCATTAATTGCTGTTATAATATAGCCCCAACATTACAACTCAAAATAGTAAACTGAATATAGTGTATGTAAAGCCTCTTTTAGACTAGCACAGTTCGCTTGGGGTCGTCTTGGATCAGATCTGTTTGGTGCGACTCCCTCCAGCCCATGTGATGTATTCATTTACTCACTCTCCTTAATTAATACAGAAATAAAACATGCAGATTTTTCTTTCAATTTCTGTTTTTCTTATGCCTCTCAGATTCTGTGGCTTTAGACAACCATTATTTCCCTGTCCAAACACATCGAAGCGTAATCCAATATTCTTATTTATTCTCTCAATGCAGTCATTTAATCCGCAGCCCTGGTTTGGACTAAGTGAGTTTTATGAGTGCATTTGTCTGTCATGTATCTGATGAGGGGAGCACAGTGTAATGTTACTGTATGTGTCTCGCTGGGCATAGAGCGGGTGTGTATGTGGTTTAGCCATGAATCCAGAATACACACTTCTCCAATAGAGTCTTTAAAAATGTGTAAACAAAAACATTCTAAATTTCAGAATGGAAGCAGCTGGAGGCAAAAGTGAAATGGAACATAATGTGATTTTAATGGTGAAACCGGGATTAACCACAGAATATCAAAAATATGAAAAATCAAAGGAAATTTGTCAAACAAAAACCACTCAGACACATGTGAGTGATATCAGAGTCCAGTTTAAAAACATTTACAATTGTGTTTTACATTGTCTGTTAATTTAAGAGATGTTATGATATATATGAGACACTAAGCTTTTTTGAAAAACAGAGTCCACAGCAGTTTGTCAATTCATTTACAGATATATTATATATTTCATCATAAATTATACTTTTTGTGAAGCTCAGATAGAATTTTGAGGTTAGAAAATTGTATTTTCCCATCCTTCTTAGCAGAGAACTTTTTTTTTTTTATAATGTCATAAGACCATTAGTATCTAGATCTGTTAATCCTTGAAAATACACTATGTCAGCTTCACTTTGCCCCCAGTTGCCTCCATCCCAGAATTTTTAACAATCTGATGACACAGGAATTTAAAGGGTCTATACTACTATACTCTAGACTAGGGCTGTGTCAATCTCAAAATCACAGAGGGCCAAAAACTGGGACTAAGTCATGGGCCAGACTAAATATTTATTGAAAAATTTCAACAACATTTGCATGTTTTCTCTTCTTTCGAGATATGTGATGTTAAACCTTTTCTTATTAAAATAAATGTTTAACAATAGTTTTGCTTAAACATTGAATCCAGAACAAGCATAATATAAAATAATAACAGTATTTGAAATAAATAATGTCTCGGCGGGCCAGCTCTAATTCATATTTGATATGATCTCGCGGGCCAAATATAATTATATCATGGGCCAAATTTGGCCCCTGGGCCTGAGTTTGACATGTCCGCTCTAGACAAAGAGCTGAGTGCGTTTGATCACTGGTTGTATGTGGAGTTCAGATATTCATGAGTAACAGCTGGTTTACTGCGCAGTCAGAGACATGCATGGTTTGTCCGTATCTAAAAAAATATGGCCGCTAAAAATATCACAGGGGACTGAAAAAAAATGACCAAAGCACTAAACTTAATCTGTTAATCTAAATTAATAAAGCAGTGTGATTGAGTGATACTGTCTGAATCTGGCTCGAGATGGAAACTGAGTGGGCACCAGACCTGTATAAAAAAATAATACAGAGAGATATTATTCTAGGCGATGTATGGTTAGCAGTTCTGTCAGTGTCCAATAAAGTCCAGTCTGTATTGATTATGCTGGTGCCAGATGTGTGATTATTAAAAGATGAAAGTGCATGGCCTGATCAGATTTCCAGTCATGTTTGGAGTTAAAGTTTCTTTGTCCCCTGTGCTGGTGAGTGTGACCCTAAACAGTGACAAAACAGGAAATGATATCAACGCCACAAACCCCCTTGTAAGAAATGTGTTAAATATTTGTTTATGATGTTAAAATAAATTAAATAGATTGGATATTGAAATCATTCTTCATAATAGTCTGTTATTGTGATCATCGGAAGATTCTCGCACAACTACTGAAAAACAAATCACTCCACCGGAACTAAATTCTAACATCTGCTCTTTCTCTCCCTCTCTTTCTCTGTTTGTCTCTTTCTCTCTCTGTTTGTCTCTCTCTCTCTCTCTCTGTTTGTCTCTTTCTCTTGCTCTCTCTCTTTCTGTTTGTTGGTCTCTTCTCTCTCTGTTTGTCTGTCTCTTTCTCTGTCTCTCTGTTTCTCTCTCTCTCTGTCTGTTTGTCTTTCTCCCTGTCTCTGGCTGTTTACCTGTCTCTTTCTCTTTGCCTCTTCCTCTCTTTCTGTCTCGGTCTCTCTCTGTCTGGTCGCTCTCTGTGTGTCTCTGTCTATCTTCCTTTCTCTTTCTGTCTTTCTGTTTCTGTTCATTTGATATTTTGCCTATTATTACTTTTAATACACTTAAAAAAAACCTCAAAGACTTTTACTAAAACTACTCTATTATATTTTTATCTGTGTAATACTCAGTACTACTTTAGATTGCCATTTTTGCTTGTTTTACTTTTTAATTTTCTTCTAGCTGAGGTTGAGGCTGAGTTGACGTTTATAACCAGAGTAAATGTCAGAATGGTTTTACTCTCATTCTCCTCTCTCCCGCTGTGTTATGGGTGGGGCTCCCCATTATCCTCAGCATCATCAAATATTATGACTCTTTCTAATTCAGACTGCAGCTGCACGCGCGGCTGCATATGGGGCACTTTATGTTGCTCTTGTTAGAAATTTCAAGCACAATAAAAATACACAAAAGGCAGTGTTGTGGTAACGTATAGCTCAGTTTTGCGGTGAAGTTTAAAAATAAAAGTCTACAGATTGTTGCTAAAAGTTGAACGCTGCACTCAAACTGAAGGACTCAAGAATACTCAGAAGTGACTTGACATATGCAGGTTAGAAAGTTTGGAAATAGCTTTAACACTTTAACTTCACAATTTACTTAATAAAGTCTTAATTCATAATGAACAAATTGTTTTAATACAATTATTAAGGCTTAGTAACTACTTAATTAAGATGTTAGGAGTTATGGTTAGAGCATTAATTATGTATGCTAGATAATAAGCCTAAATCATTCTTAATGATAAGTGTGTTCATTATTAATTAAATCTTTCTTCTTGTTCAGTTGAAAGTCAGGCCAAAAGCTTTTGACCTGTCCCTCTTGTTGATGTTCAATAAATCATATGTGATCAGGCAAACCATGTCTTAGTATTTGTCTGTTTTCTTCTTCTAGATATGTGTACCACAGCTCGAAGTGGATGGTGGCTGGAAATGCAGATTCTCCGGTGCCCCCTAGAGTCTACATCCACCCGGACTCTCTGGCCTCGGGCGACACCTGGATGAGACAAGTGGTTAGCTTCGACAAACTCAAACTCACCAACAACGAGCTGGATGACCAAGGACATGTAAGGACACTGTCTGTTACTGTGTGTGGTCCCCGTGTACACAATAACACAATATAACACAATACAGGGTAGTTCTGATGCTACCACAGGGGGTTGTCTTTGTAACACCAGTGTCCATGGTTGCTTTGTTCGTGGGTTTCAGCTTCATATTATATGCAACATTTTGAAGATATCATGTTTTATTTTAAATTGCTTATTACTGTGGCAACGGTCCAAATTTTTCATCATTCTGAAACCCATGGGTAGATTAGGTTCACATAACAACATTCTAAACTGGCCACAGTTTAACACTGCGCTGGAGGACAGGTCAGATTTCTGTGACCGAATTTGCCTTTTACGTCTAAAGACGCAGTGGTTTTGAACTGATTCATGGTTCTCTCTAATTACTGGGTCTATGAAAAGTAAAACTGGCACAGAGTTCACTGTCTTCTCTTTCAGCACAAATGAACAAAGGTATTTCTTCCTCAAAATAGTTTTAGAAAGTGTCTGTTTGATTCAAACAAACAGAAGGGCTCAGAACTGTGGCATTCATAATATTTAGCTCTTTTGTATGGCTCCTTTACCGAAACCTGGAAATAAGTTAGACTTTGTTTTGTTTTATGCATTTTACTTAAATTTAAGCTGAACCTACTCAGAAACAAACTGAGCAACACAAGATTGCATTGTCTTGTTTGTTTGGTCTTTTTACATTGTAATTTAAAAATGTGCTTCTGTCATAGATAAATATGAAAAGAGCCAGTCTTTTTGAATATCTTTTTGAAAAGATTCAGATCCCATAAAAGAGCCAAATGTCACTGACTGTGACTGTAATTTGACAGGCAAATATTAATTTCCCCTGTATAATTATGTAATGGTCAAATCAGCGTCATTTCAATAATCTTGGTTTGAGTTGTAGAGGAACAACATCCTGATTTACAGCTTGTATCCAGTTTGAAAGAGGGGAACTGAAATGACTTCTATTGGCTTTGGGTTTCTTTAAATATATGATGTGGTTTTGAAAGGTGAAAGGTTTGACTGTAAGGCTCCAAGTTTCACCGCAAATTTAGATTTTACAAGGACCTTATGTTTAGAAATATATGAGTCACATTTCAGTACTCTATATTGCAGTTGTAAATAGTTGCCATGATGAGAAAGGATTGCAATTAGAGTTTTCCCCTTCAGTAAAATATTTAGCATTTGACATTTTTTGCATAATAATTTGACCTTTAAAGTAACAATACTGACTTGGGATGAGATTACTTTTTGTTTTTTTACATTTTCCTGGATATTTTTTCAGGTCATTTGAAGTGAATTTTGATTTTCCTTGCTGTGGTGTAACAAAATGCCCCCATTCGAAACAACCGCAAGACGTGAATCACTACCACACACAACTGTCTTAGAGAAGATTTATATGTCCCTCACCAAACCCAGGCCCACACCATACTTTCTAATCTTATATGCAGAAATATCTTTGGATTTATCTCACTGCGCACAAACAAGATCAAAACTCATTTTTACTTGTTGACAGAATAATGGCTGAACGTCTCCCTATAAATGTCCCAAACTAGGTCTTGACATGCAACAAGTAAATTCTGTTTTGAAATCAATAATTATAAATAAGTAATAAATCTCAGCTAAAGTAGTATAAACAGCTGAGGGGCTTATGACAGGTTAGACTAATCATGTCACCAAAACATAATAACAAGGGCTAAATTGCACAATAGTTATGATTTACCATATTTATTTTAGATATATCTTTATTTTGTTAAAAGATTTAACCTTTAACTGTTAAATTTTTAAGCCTTCAGAGTATGGTTTGGATTAAATTTGACCCCGACCAAGAATTCCCTCATAGTAAGTGTCTATACCAAATTCTGAACTACAGATCTATTTAGAATGTCTAAATAGACTATCCAACATTAATAAATATGTGTAATATATAAATATAATTTTTCAAAGAGCAGAAAGATAATACTTTTCATATTTTCTTGTTCTTCTTTTGCATGTATGAGACAACTGTGGTGTCCTAAGTGAAAATAAACTTAGAAAAAAAGACCTCTCTCCCCCTTGATTGACTTTTGTTCCTTATGTGCATCATATACAGGATGATCACTCTTTCACTGTTTTGAGATTTCCCTTTGCCCCTTTAAAAACCAACAGGTGTCTACTTCTGGGAACCTGGGGCATGCGGGAATCTCAAAACAGTGAACTCTTGAACTCTGTGACCACTGTCCCATAAAAAAACCACACACACACTCATACACACACACACACACACACACACACACACACACACACACACACACACACACACACACACACACACGCACACACACACAAACATGGTCTGTACAGCTTCACAGATTCAAGATTCCCTAAAACTTCCATTTTCCTTCATTTGATTTGCACTGATCTAAAATCCATCCAAATAGGGTCAGACCTGAACCAGCCTCAGTGTCCAAAAATTTGTAGCACCTGTACAAAACTATAAAATTTCAAAATATTTTCATTTTTGTGTATTTTGCTAAATTTAGAAAAAGTTATCAAATTTCAGGATAAAAGAATGATGCTTAGGGTACTTTTACTACTCTTGCATGTCAAAATGGGTCATATTTGACCCCAGTAGTATTTAAGGTGTAAACTGTCAGATTAACACCTTCTATGCATGTAAATTGTTCCTGCTTTTTAGATGGAATATACAGTATTGATGAGAAATATAGAGGTGCTGTTTTAGAATTTAGAATTTCTTCTTAACTTCTTTCCACAAACTGCTACTAATGGATGTAAAACTTTAATAAATATTTACCACACTAAACAAAGTATTAATTAGAAAAACATGACATACACATAGATAGATCTCTTTATTGCAGACTTCTGATCCAGAGAAAAAAAAACAACAAACAATATAAAAACAGAAGAAAACAGAGAAGAACAGCTCCCAGTGTCTTAGGAGACAACTACCATTGTTTCTAATGTTGAAGGACACAATATTAGTCAACAATAAGTGTCTGTGGGCTACTTTTTTTTTTAAATAATACCGAAATATAATTATAATTGTCAATAAGTCTTTGAGGTTAAAATTCAGGCTTTAATGAATTGTACCTCCATGTGTACTTGTATAGCTCCTGTGTTTATGTTCTTTTGTTATTGTGCTTGGACCACAAACACATATTTTAGAGATAAATGACATTTCATCCTCCAGCCACATCCCTTTGTCTTTGGCTCTGAGCTGCTTTATTCTGCCATCTTTCTCTGGGAAAAGCTTATAAAATGCAAAAGAAGTATTTTTATTACAGCTTTGTTCTAAATGAGCCATTGCACTTTGTTATTATGCCAGTAACGTCTTGAGCATATCTTTGTGATTTTGGACAGACTACTACTCCTCAACTTTCTCTTTGTCTGTCAGAAAGTTATTTCAAATCAACAACATTTAAGTTTTTTACCAGTAGAATTCAATGAAGTAAAAATTCAAACGGTACCAAGTTGCCTTTACCAGTGTGAAATTCTTTTTTCGAGCAAGACACTCCACCCTCCTTGCCCCCAGTATTTGTGTACACTGTGGATATGTGTAATAGTGTGTGTGTGTTGATCTCAACAGATGAACAACAAGATTAACAGTGATGATCTATAGATTATATTTTGCTTTATTTGGTGTTTTGTGACCAACTAAACAAGAAATAATACTGCAATACTCAAATTTTAGTTACTTCAAATATATCTTCCTGCTGATATTAGCTATTATGAAGTGTATTGTAAGGATGTTAATTTATTGTTCAGGTGACTGTCCGTAATTTCTTACCTAACTCATAAAAGGAAATATGATAATAGTGTTTGAGTGTGAACTACAGTCAGCTGCACTGTGCTTTGTTGATGAGTGACTTCATTTTAGACCTCAGACACATGAGGTCTGAAATCTCTCTCTTCCCTCTCTCTGCTCTTTCACTCTCTCACCCCATCTCTCTCTCCCTCTCCTCTGGGACAGCCGAATTACTGTGGCGTTTCCCTTCAGTTTTAACCTCTGTCCTGATCTGCTTCATGAGTCATGTGACAAGTTCTCAGGTTTAGAGAGAAGGAAATGTTCAGAAAGCAACAGAAAGGGAAAGGTGCCTTCAATCCAATATATTCACCCCCACAGCAATACAACTGTCTGTGCAGAAACTACCGTCACAGCAGATGATTCTTCAAGTGGATTTCTGTCTAAATATTTGACAAACTATAATGTAAATTAGAGAACTCACTTTATAAGCATAATAAAAAGAATACAAGCATTAAGCCATTATTATTATCACCAGAAGTGAAAAGTAGTACTAAAGGAGTAGTAAAGGAAAAACAATTCAAGAAAATGCTTTAAGGATACACATTTTCTAACCCTTACTTTTTCCTTCACCATTCATCTTTAATTATTTTCAATGATTACCAGTAGACTTATGTGTTTAATTGTTTCAAGTTGATTTAATTTGAGTATTTCTGTCACCAACATCATTACTGTTATGATGTTACCAGCGAGTTAGCATGCACATCTGTTCTCTGTGACCCTCTCTGAGATTTTAAATGCAAAATATTTGCGAGTGTTCCTGATACTCTCTGTTAGCACGCTGGTGGTGGGGGGATGTGTGGGGGGCAGTGTGGGGTGTTTGGCTCTGGGGAGGTTTTCTCACCCTCGGTCTAATCAGGACCAGACCTGAGCCCGAGGCGGGACCGGCCCGACTGACGCCTGGACTACACTGCAAAATAATCCTGCTTCGTACAGTGTGAACTCACCTCATGTTAAGAGCTTTGATAGAGTCTCTGATGTTAATGATTCATGATATTCAACCACAGAATACAAGTCTTAGGAGGCTGGCTAGGGTTACATTTGTACCCAACAATATACTTGATATGTTATTAATCCTGTCTGCTAATCCTTTGTGAGATTCAGATCTCACATCACAATAAAACTAAACATCTACTGACATAGTTTACGACCACATCTTTTATTTGGCTAAGAATTGTGCTTTAAATTACTAATCCTACCAATGTTCACAACACAGAGAGCTTCTTAAGCAACCTGCAGATCCTTTTTAGCCTATATAAATTCAAAATAAAGTCAAATTCTGTTTTCAAATTAACATCTAACAATTAACAACAATGTCTGAGCACTAAATATCCACACTGGTGATACCAGGACTTCTGGTTAAAAAAAAAAAAAAAAAAAGATGTCCCCTTTGTCTCCCTCAGATTATCCTGCACTCGATGCACAAGTACCAACCTCGTGTCCACGTGATCAGGAAGGACTTCAGCAGTGAACTCTCCCCAAACAAACCTGTCCCCACTGGGGAGGGGGTCAAGACCTTCAGCTTCCCCGAGACTGTCTTCACCACTGTCACTGCCTACCAGAACCAGCAGGTACACACATCATATCACACATGTACAGTCATTTTATTGCATCAATAGCAACTAAATATTATAGTGTCATTAATATGAACATTGTCTTTGCACTCAGATCACCAGACTAAAGATTGACCGAAACCCTTTTGCCAAAGGATTCAGGGACTCTGGGAGGAACCGGTATGTGGCATCAGCACAAAATATAACTCAGAAGAAAAAAACATATATATTTTAAAACATTACATAATTGTCTGGACACAGAATTCACAGATGTGAATTACCTTCCAAACAGATAAAGAATAATTCAGAATATTCTTCTGCCCAGAGGATGTTGAGATTTGATTGATTGTGTTACTTCTCTAACAAACATTTGGCAAAAACAAAAGCAGCTTTGCAAGTTTATTATGCTACTAGTGATAGTAAAACAGCTTCTGTGACTATTGCAGCTATTAAAAGAAATTATAGTCTTTCATTACTTGCTTATGTTTTAACTCATTAAGTATTATACATTACAATCTTCGAAATCAAGTAAAATTTCCTCAAACATTTCCCTAATCAAACAAATGCACATACAGCACAGTGTATTTTATTTTTATGTTTTGGTGTTATTGTTTTATTTTTATTTTTTTCTGCAGTAGTGACATCATAGAGTGTGGCACTTCCTGCTGGCTGTTACTGTCTCCAGTATCAAATACCTAATTTAGAGCGTCTCTGTACCCAGTGTATTACCCTGTTTGTGCCCAGGTTTCAGTTCTTATATAGTGATTGTATAAGAGAAGCCCTCCACACACGAGAGCTGGCCCCTCATCTGGACCACATTATTGGCACGCAGATATTTGAGACATCTTTTTTCATTTTTCAAACAATAGGCGACTGATTTATGAACTGGCATTAGAGTTTCATTGGCGAAAAGATGGAGAGAGGAGTGAGCTGTGAGTCCAGTCCACCCTCACAGTGTCTTCTTTACAGTTTTATGAGGAAGAAAGAATGTAATACATTTCAGGCACTTACACTTGTGAAAGACCATTGAACTCAATTCAGTAATAATAACTTCATAATAATGCCATGTTATAATAATGATTTTACAAAAGTTACAAAATTTGCATCTCACATTTTTATTTCATGGCTCTTCACTCCTACTTTAGGTCCGTACTTTCTACATTTGAAACATGAACCTGTCAGTCTCAAAATGCAGTCCTTTAATGGTGAATTTTGCTCAATTTGACCATAAAATATATTGCTGCTGCATGGGACAAAATAACCAAATATAAAATTAAGTGCAAAGTGTGAATGGAACCAATCTGCAGTGGAACATGAGCGGCTAATTCCACATTTAAGGGGAAATCCTGAATCAATCTAAAGGGCAAACCAATAATTGTCACATTAAGCACCCACTGGTTTCCTTTTGGGAGTTTCCAGTCTCTTAATATGGTCGTGTTTGTGGCTGGACCGTGCTGTATGAATGGGCGCACTGATCCGGATGGACCTTCTCGATTAGCCCGCCACGCTAACGAGCTACTACAGTCCAAAAATAACACAGAACAGGGGTGTCGTTACCATGGTTTCCTGGGGACACTGGGGTAAATCAGACAGGAAGCACAGCAAACTACAGATTTGAGATGAAACATCACCCAGATTTATGTTTGCAATAAAAACCTGCTCCTTTAATGGCTCTAGTTTCCTCTGAGCAGGATTACAGTCTGGACCTCTCCATACAAAGTGACTTCAGCTTTCACACAACCACTCAGTCAGAAGGCTGTTAAGTAATAGGAGAAATGGGTTGCTTTATTGTCACAGAGTATGCCCTATATGACAAAGTTGTTCTGCTTTGACTGATGCTAACACTAATATTTAAAATAAGCGTAATACTTGAATACAGGAAGAATATTGATTGACTTCTATATGACCATAATTAAAAACACAAACAAACAATAGCCTAGGTTTTGAGGATTCAACCCAGATGAGAGTCTCATGTGACATTCATTCTACTTTCTGATTGGGTAAATGTTTTGATATTCATAACACCACATTATAAAACATGAATACATTTGATTAGAACATGTCTACCTCACATCTGGGAACACGATCAAATTTATCAAGTTTAAAACCAAAATATTACAAACTGTTCTTTTTAACTTTCTTATTCAAGTTATTAGACTTTTATTTCAGTTGTTATATTGAAAAAACTCCTTTGTTCTTGTTTGAGTTCTTGTCAGTGAACAATCCTCTTGCTTTTAGGACTGGTTTAGAAGCCATTATGGAGACGTACGCTTTCTGGAGACCTCCTGTTCGGACCCTCACGTTTGAGGACTTCACCAACATGCAGAAGCAACAAGGTTTGTCCGATCTTCTACTTTTTTTCTATTGAGAGCATGCACTCACATAATGATACACTAAGTTGTCTATCTGTACAGGTCTGAGCATAAAAATAGTTAACTTTTCAAGAACAAATGTCATACTTGCTTCTAAGCATGAACCAGTTTTGACGCCAGCGCATTGTGCCAGGAAATCTAAAAATAGTGAATGTTGTAAACTGGCTTCAGAAAGAACTCTCTGCTTACAGTTTCAAAGGAATAATGTGCCCTCGTGAACTGTTATCCTCAGCGCCTTTCAGATCTCCATTTTACAAGACTTATATTTCTGAGCCCTCCTTTACAATAACCTATAAAACAAATCCAGTTTTTCAATTTTGAAATGTGTTTAAAATTAACAAAGTAGAAATGAGTATGGCCTTGCAGTTCAGATCCCAGGCTGAACTTGCTGCATACTTTCCCTGTGTACATCAGCACACTGCATCAAACAGTGTGTCCTTCGTGTGAGCCTGGCCCGTCCACTGAACCTTTTCCTCCACTTAAAGATGTAGGAAAAAAGTTACATAGTTAAACAAGCGCAATGGATTTAGCATGACTCAGCCACAGGTCAGCCAACCTCCCTTTGGGCTAAGAGGAGGGACAGGCTCACGCTGCAAGGGTAAAGGGGAGGTCAGTCTAACTTCTTAATCCTAATTTTGTGCGACATGTGTTGATCAACATTTTAAACCTGATTCATAGATTTGAGTCGCAATATTTGAGTAACAGTATAATTTATGAGACAATATATAAAAACAAAAATAGCTTTGTAAATGTAAAGTTCTAATGACACAAAGAGTTTTTATTCAGATAAACAGCAAAGCTGTGTATTATCTGTTGGTTAAATCAACATTTTTGTTAAGCCCTGCAAGGCAGCTGCTGTTGTGATTTTGGACTTTATAAATAAACAATAGTGTGACAACTGTCTCTCATATTAGTGTAAAAAACATTATCCATATAACAATGTATAGTCCAATAAAATATGACATTTTTGTACTCCTCAGTACTTTTTTCCATAATGTATATATTTATACGGGAGATGACATCACCCATCTGTCTCTCTTACCTCTTTTCTGACTACAGTTTCCATCCCCCACATCGCCTTCATAGACACAGCAGAACAATATTATCGAATGCATATGGTTCATAATCAGGAAGCCAACCAGGCCCTGGATTATTTAGTTATGCCTCCTTCTTCTGATTCCTCGTTCAAAGTGAATTTTTGCTTCAGCGAGTGGAACCAGCCAAATTCTCATTAATGGAAAAGTATGGGCCTGATATTCCACAGCTATCGTTTCACTTTGAAAAGCTGTGACTTGTGTACCATATGCCAGCAAGTGTTTTTATGATCTGGATTTAAGTCATATTAGGACCAGCAGTAAACTGAAATGACATTTATTGCAAAATACTTTTGGACTGAAAAGTACACAAAACAGAAGGTTATAAGATTTGGTTCATAATGACTTTATGTATGTTAAAGGTAAACTCAATGGTCAACTTTATTTATTTCAGAGCAATTCAAAATGGAATAAACGTAAACTAAAACATTGTTAAAATAGTACAGTGCTTTTTCTGCTACAGTCTACGGACTCAGAGCTGTGAACATAATACTAATACCTTCCCACTGGGAAAAGCGGTTTATTTCCCGCTGTAGTTCACAGGAAGGTCAAAGGTCAGACAGATACATATAGGGATTGGTGTCAGTCTCAGACACATAAAATGGATCAAATAAAATTATTACAGGTAGAACAGTGTCATTTATTAGTCTGACATAACACATAAATGTAAGTTCTAGTTCACTGATGTTATGTCTTGTGTTTCTCTGACAGGAGGCAGCACTGGCACCTCTCCCACCACATCCAGCACAGGGACACCGTCACCCTCGAGTGCTGCACACCTCTTGTCCCCATCCTGCTCCCCTCCGGCCTTTCACCTCGCTCCAAACACCTTTAATGTGGGCTGCAGGGAGAGCCAACTGTGTAACCTGGGCCTGACTGAGTACCCCGCCTGCGCACGCAGTAACATGGCAGCACTGCAGGGCTATGGAGGTCTGGCTGACAGTTCCTATGGACGCCTCCAGGCTGCAGGGGGCGCTGTGGCCTCTGGCCAGCCCTCTGACTCCTTCCTGCCCCAGAGGACTTCCTCCCTGATTGCAGCTGGGATGCAGGGCAGCTCTCATGGCTCTCTGCCCGGGGGCAGTGGAGGAGGAGGAGGTGGAAGTAAGATGGATGCTTACAGTGGTCAGTTCTCTCAGCTGCAATACGTGATGCAGGCGGGAGGGGGCACCAGCTCTGCGCCCTCTTCCTCCTCAGGCTCCTCCTCTTCCTCAGCCCACATGTTCAGTGGAGGCCACCACCATGTGCAGCAGGGTTCTTATAATGCCTTTTCTCTACACAACCCCTACAACCTGTACGGATACAACTTCCCCAGCTCCCCACGCCTTGCCGCTAGCCCAGAGAAACCACAGGGTGGGCTGCTGTGCTCCTCTTCTCCAGCAGGGGCCTTTGCAGAGCGCCAGTACCTGTCCAATGGAAGCATGGACTCCATGCACATGATTGGGAACCCCTCCGCGGGACAGCAGGGCGGCAGCTCCTGTGACGGCCGTCAGTACGGCTCCTCCTCCCAAATGTCCATGCACATGGTCTAAGCCTTAATCTGATCTCTGGACCTGAGCTGTATACAGCAGGGCAGGAACAAGCATCTCAAGACACTTAATGTTAAAAGGATGGATTCAAACTATTATTTAAATCTCTTAACAAACTGGAACAACTTCTAGATTCAGACACTACAGACTTCAGAAATAAACTGACCGTATAGCAGTATTAACAAACAAATCTGTGCAATAGCAATAAAGCAGGATTCACCTTCACTGTGATTGAGAAGTGAACTTAAACAGAGCACTTGTGCAGCTTTGGCAGTGGTCCGCGTGACAGCTCTGCCTGAGAGACAGACAGAAGAGGACATGCTCCTCTCCATCCTCATACAGGGTAACATAAAGTGTACAGTGAACAGCCTCCTCCTCATGGACTGGAATGACTTCACTATTTTTGAGTGGAAATGTTTCTAAGCATATCTATATATAAGGTGGCGAATGCAATCAATAACATAAGCTTAAAAGTTGTGTGAAAAATTATGAAATAAGCAATAACAGAGTATTATGTATGTTTGGTGTGCTGTAGAAGTATTTAAGAGCTGATTTTACAGGGCAATCTGTTACAAATCTGTGTGAAAAACTTTTTTGAGGCATTTTGAAAAAATGTAAATACTGGTGCCAAGCACATAAAAGCTCAATAAACATTCGATTCATGTGAGATGGTTTTCATTTGTTGGTCTGCAGTGGATTTGGGCCTTTTGCTTTATGCACTCTTCACTTCAAAAGGAAACATTATTGGTCAGTGAGGAGAATAGAGCCACACTAATGAGTTGTCATTTTAAGCTTGAGAAAAAACACTTTTACTTTTTAAATTGACCAGAAAAGTTTTATAAAACCGTCCAGTTTTATAATAGAATAATTTGCTATTAAAAAGTTGTGGTTGCTACAACAATGACCAAAGCTTAAAGTTTTGCTGTTTTGTGGAGATTACATCACTGTTTATAATGACAGTGAGCTCCAGTGGATAGGATCATGATGAGTTTGGTTTATATAATAAGTAATTTTGCAGTAACATTTTAGCTGTATGTTTGAAACATACAGTATATTACATAATATAGAACAGAAGTTGCTATAGAACTAATACATGTTCAGATCTTTGTCACTGATAAATATTCCATTTCTTTGGTGGTGGTCTCTTCGACTTCTCACAATGAATTATAAATGAGGGAGTTAACGCCAGTCAGCTCAAAGCCTCATGGCCACTATAAGTGCAGTGACATGATTATTGATGAACGAGGAGAGTGATGTGTTCTTATAAAAGACACATCTGCTCCAGACCATGGACTTCAAACACTACACAATCCATACATCATAAACCAAAACCAGTGGACCCAACAAAAAGACCCTTTCCCTTCACTGCTGTTTTCGTTTTATCCCAAAAATCAGTTCTTGTGCCAGTTGTACTCAGCCAAGGAGGGTAGACCTGTTGCACCTGTTTGATGAAATACAGAATCCCTCTATAATCACTCAAACTAGAAGAACTCAAACCTCATTCTGGTTGCCCTTGTTAGCTCTGTCCTGGGCCAATCAGCCTCCATTACACGCATGTATTGTGAGTAGCCTCCCCAATCATTTCCTATCATGCACACAGCTCCGGCCATGAAATATCATATCTGAAGCGTCATCAGTGAGCACAGAGAGCCACTATTAGAAACACCTGTTTTCCCTTTGACTTTAAGTAATGAGCCAACGATGCACCACAGAGAAGCATATGATTTCATAATTTGACCTCAGTCCACCAATGTGGACATTTTTTCCAATAATTATTTGTGTAATTTCACTAAATACAGCATTGTACCTCTTTTTTCTTTTCTTTGAAGAAAGTTGAGGAATATAAAGTATGGGTCTTCGTTTGTCTACTCAGTACAGCAAACACTGAAATGATGATTTCAACTATTTTTGCTTTTTTTAGTCTTGATACCATTCTAGGCACAACTAGCTGTATTACTGTGTTTGGTCATGAGGGTGAATAATCTCACCTAGGGGACATGAATATTATTGCAAAGTCGCATTATATATGAGTCCAAAAATACCCACATTTTCAACAAAAAATATTAGAAAAATACATAGAATTGAAACTTTTACTCAGTCTTCCAGTTCATCTTTTCATTGTGTTAAAACTATAAAAAATGTATTTTGTTGTTCCCTCATAATTACTCTTTCTTTATATATCACTTTGATTATAATGTATAGTGCATGTAACTACTCACTTTTACCCCAGCAAAATTTGAAATACCCTTGAAATTAGCTTGGCCCCTTTATTGTAAATGAGGAGATTTGTAAAAGCACCATGAGCTAATGCACAGCAGACCTGCCTCCATCCTGTACCCTGTCCATCAGCTCTTTAAGTGGAAGAGAATGGCAGGGCCAGAGTGGATGCCTTTTATCACAGTGTCCATCATTAGGAGCTCAATACTCAAACAGTCTCATTGATTGATTAATGACATACAGATGACAGCAACACATGCAACTGGAACAAACGGTGAGATCAGATTTGGTGTTTTAATGACGAGTAGAAGACAGAGAGATTCGGGGCTAGTTCACAGTGTTAGGCCCTTAGTTTTGCAGTAGCCTTTATCATGTTTATAAAGCCTTGTTGAAATCCATTGCCTGGCTGTTTGTCAGATTTTGCCAGAAAATAACCCACAGATTGATGGTTGTGTCACAATGAACATTTGGTTAACTATAACTTAAAAATACTGTTTCACTCAAAGCACAATATCTTAAACTATTTTTATCCTGTCTGGGTGCACTATGTGACTTTTCTTGTCTCTGTGGAATGTCACACTGACTGAAATGTTCCCCTGTATTGCATTAAACTTGTGCTCACTGTAAAAGTCCATGTTTTTCAAGGAATAGCAATAAAAACACATGCAAAAAGCCTGCAATTAAATAAATGGTGGATAGATAAGTTAATTGCCATACTGTGGAAAAATCACAACACACCACATTCATACTAGGCAAGGTGAGTGAAGTGTCTCCCATCCCCGTAACTATCCCCTGCCTTGCTTAGCTCGGGAAATCTGACAAGAGCAGGCACTGACAAGCAGTAAAAAGCAGTACTGTAAAACTTGAGTGTGTTTATTATATATATATATATATATATATATATATATATATATATATATATATATATATATATATATATATATATATATATATATATATATATATATATATATTTATTTATTTCTTATACAGTGAAGAAATTAAAGGCACAAATGCTATATGTGGGATAATTCTTTCTTCCACTCTCAATTAAAATGATTGTTTTGTGTGCACTGACTGTATAGGCAGCAGGTCACAACAGACAGGAGACACATGCACACATTTTAAAGGTGCTGCAGTGCTCCTGACACGAGTATTAAAGCATTAAATCAAATGTTCTTCAGACCTCCAGCTGCCTCTATGTTCCCCTCTTCATAAAACATCTTGAATCAATTCCAGCATTGATAAAGTCATGACACACACGTCAGGCTTTAAAAATGAGACACCAGAACTGCAACCATTTTCATAAATCACTATAAAAACTATAACACAAATTGTTTTGAAGCATGAATGATTAAAGGTTCTGAATGTATATGTATGTTGTACTTTATAACATCATTTAGGTATATTATAGAAACAAAATCACAGCTTGGCATGGGACAATATTGAATTTTTGTCATCAAAATGACTGCAAGTAAAGATCATTTCACAGAAAATATTGAAATTGCTGACAGTTTAAAAAACTTTATACCATGGTTGAGAATTCTGATGCAGACTGCCTTGCATTGTTTTTGTAACACTGCACAAGTAGTTCTGGCAACAGTTAATAACTGTTCTGTATCACTGCACTGTGAGCATCATTATAGCATAGGGGACTAGCTTCAGTTAAAACAGAAAAAAATCAAATGCTTTGAACATTCATGAACAGCCAAAAGGCTGTCAGATTTAAAAGTGACCTATTTTCAGAGACCACAGTTTAGGTAGATTAAACAACTTTTGCAGTGTTATACTTTATTATATTTATTGGCAACTATGATGATTATACAAATTGTTTCACAAACTTTCATCATCTACCCTTCTGAGTGCAATAAACAGTATTATTCACAGCTATATTGAAATAAAATAGCCACTTTGACTAGAAGAGAATGTACGTTCTCGTTTAGTCTTAGCGAAAGGCTCTAACTATGCAGGTCAACAGGAAACACCTCCAGTATTTTTTCTTTCCTTTGGAGGTGAAAAAGATGTTAAAGATATGGTCACCCTGGTGCAGGTGTTTCTGATAAAGCCCAAAGCCCAGATGGAACTAGACGTGGCTCTAGACGTCCTGTGGAGCTGGGCCTGCTGAGTACAAAGAGCTCTGACTGAGGCTGGGCTGAGAGTCTAAATGAGAGAGGTCCGGTGCAGCGCGGTTCTTCACACAGCCTCAGAGATGGAGAGATAGAATAACTGACCGGATATACCACCCCCAACCAAAGAGAGGAGAGGACAGAGTGCAGGCGAACTGAGATAAACAGCTGTGAGACAACTACTGGTAATGAAGTAACTGTTGATTTTAAAATTTCACAACATTTCAATCTCATGCATTGTTCATTAGAGCTGAGAATCACAGGGTCCCTCTTGATTTGATGGCTCATAAAACGTTAATATTAGGATTTTGCAATATGTGCGATAAATACTGAGCAAATTATACATTTCTGTTTTTAAAGAACTAAATAAATTTTTACAGCAGTATTTCTTAGTTAAACCACTATCTGCACAAAAATAATCAATAATAGCCAATAATCAAAAATTTCCTAACCAAGCAACAAAACTGCAGTACTGTCACAGAGCAGTCCACAGTATCGCTATCGTATCAGAATATTTAATATAAAAGAATAAAAGGGCAGCAGCTCCACTCCAAGCTTCTTGCTAACTGAGCTCCTCATGCTATCTCAAATGAGAGAGGGCACTTGTTTTAGACCTCTTCATTTAGCTCATTATTCTCCACAACAAATTCATAAATTGAGTAAAGCTATATTGTTTATTTTAAGGATGGAACAGGCTCTAGAAAAATGTTTCAAAAACATTAATCTGATTTACATTGTGGCTCCATTATGTGACAGGAGCTGTGGTGAAGGGCCTGCACTGAGCAGCACAGAGTTCAAGACCTGGCAGTAGTTTTCTTGTGATTAGACCAGGTTTACACCAAATAAAAGTGAAGGTCAGGCGCATGCAGAGGACGTGCCATAAAACAACAGTGTGTGAGTGTGTGAGTGTCAGTGTGTGTGCGCATACATACACATGCTCCTGTCCTTCTCTCAGGGCATCTGGACTTTTCCATTCGCCATGCTCATTATTTTCACAGGAAGTTTGTTTAACACTTAATGTAGTGACAATGTGAACAACCCTCAGACGCGTTTGAAAATACAGACTTTATGCCCCCAACTAGATATTCTGGAAAATATTCAGCTTACACACATGCGCCCAATAAATCACCTTTATAATGCTTGTCACATAAAATGTTACTAGAACTGTGGGCTGAGCGTGTCCACAGTGTTAAAGCTGGTCCCCACCACACACACACAAACACACACACACACGCACACACATACGCACACACACATTTCACTCACCATCAATCTCAAGAGGCCCGGGCTGCTGGTGCGTGTGTGAATGC